CCTTTGGTAAAGGACAACCTTAAATAGTTTGTGCTACAAAGTTGCTACCATCTATTCCTTAATTTTCAGCTGTTTTATGCTTTGATTGGACCTGGGATACGTCTTTAAATTAAGTAAAGAGTAGATTAAGGATGTTATTCTATTCTTTCAATTTATGGGCATGATTCCACCACAAGGAATCCTATTTTCTTCTTTTCTGTTGGCTAGATTGTGTTCTTACAGTTTTTCTGCCTTTGTGTAAGGTACTTTGAAAGACAACATGATATTAAACATACTTTGTAATTGTAGAGTTTTATCATAACTGGTATATGATATATCAACACTTAATTTCATATGGCTAGTTAATATGGCCAGTTATGCTGTTTCAAATTTTTTATTTTGAAGTACTTATAAATTCACATGCAATCCTAAGAAATACAACAGAGAGATTCCATGTACCCTTTGCCCAGTTTCCACCAATGGGAACATCTTGCCAAACTACAGTACAATATCACATTCAGGATAGTATTGACAGTCAAGATACACAACACTTTTATCACCACAGGGATATCTCATGTTGCCCTTTTATAGTCTCACCTACTCACCTCCAACCTTCACCCCTTCCTTGACACCTGGCAGTTACTAATCTATTCTCCGTTTTTATAATTTTGTCATTTCAAAAATGTTATATAAATGGTATCATATAGGATATGAGTTTTTGGGAATTGGCTTTTTTATCACGTAGTGTAATTCTCTTCAGATTCATCCAGGTGGTGGTTCTTATCAATAGCTTGTACCATCTTATTGCTAAACAGTGGATGTACCACTGTTTGTTTAATCATTTATCCATTGAAAGGCATCTGGGTTATTTCCAGTTTGGGGCTATAATAAATAATGCTGCTATAAATAAATATACATGTACATTTTAAAAAATTTCGGTAAAATACACAATGTAAAATTTACCATCTTAAACATTTTTAATGGTACATTTCAGTAGCTTTAAGTATATTTATATTGTATAACTATGACTACCATCCATCTGCAAAATCCTTTTCATCTTGAGAAACTGAAACTCTGTGCTCATTAAACACTAACTCCTTGTTTCCTTCCACCTGGCCCTTGGCAACCACCATTCGTAGTTCTGTCCCTATGAATTTGACTACTCTAGGTACCTCTTATAAGTGGAATCACACATTTTTTCTTTCTTTCCTGACAGGCCTATTTCACTTAGCATGATGTCCTCAAGGTTCAACCATGTTGTAGCATGCGTCAGAATTTCTTTTTAAGGCTGAATAATATTCCATTGTATGTATATATCACATTTTGTTTATCCATTTATACATTGAATGGTTTGAAGCAACTTGAGTTGTTTCCAACTTTTGGTTATTACGCATAATGCTGCTATGAACACAGGTGTACAAATATCTGTTTCAATTCTTTTGGGTACCCAGAAATGAAATTGCTGGATTATATGGTAATTCTGTTTTTAATTTTTTGAAGAACCAGTGTACTCTTTTCCATTGCAGCTACACCATTTTAAATTCCCAGTAATAGTGCACAAAGGTTCCAATTTCTCCACAACCTCATCAACACTTGTTATTTTGTTTTTTGTTTGGTAATAGCCATCCTAATGGGTGTGAGGTGGTATCTTGTGATTTCAGTTTTCATTTCCCTAATGATTATGCTGTCGAGTATCTTTTCACGTGCGTTTTGGCCATTTGTGTATCTCCTTAAATGTCTGTCTCCAAAAAGGGAGACAAGGACTAGCCTTTTAAATTCCCTGGAGGTCACTTCATCTGGAGGGAGAGGCACTGCAACAATGGCTGTCTGCCTCTGAGTCTGTACCTCTGTGACCAGAACCAGCAGTCAGAGCACAGATTTTGGTATTTGGAGGAGAGGGTCTTTATTGCCCACCCTGACTCTCACAAGTTATGTGCAAGCTGCTCTAGGAGCGTATGCCCAGCTGCCTGCCACAGGGTTGGGGATAGGGTATGGGGAGGCTACTGTGCGAAGAGCTGAAGTTGACCCAAATTAACCACAGTTTACAATGAAGCTTTCCCCTGGAAACCTTCCTCTTTAATAAACTCCAGAGTTGTATAATACTTAACATTAGACAGATTCTATCAGGCCAGTTGTCTAGGTGGGGAGACAGATTCCTGGTGCTTCTTACTCTGCCATCTTCCCTCTAGCTCCAGCTTATTAATTTTATATCAGACTATTCTGATTCAAGGTTATTAATCCTATCTATAACTATTTGCATATACTTTAAAATTTAAAAAGATACCATTTATCATTTACCTTTGCATATGATGTCTTTTGCCTTGTAGACATTTTAAATTTTACATGGTTTTATCAACGAACCATCCTTTTGATGGATTCTGGCTTTGATAACATTCAATGTAAAATATTCTACTTTAATGTTAAAACGAGTAAAAATAAAAAATAAAATCTCTCTCAGAAAAGACTGATATAAAAAGACTGGTATTTATGCCTACTGTGTGATGGCTTAATCTTTTTGGACTTCTTTTTTTAGATTTTATATGTTTAAATCATTAATACTTATAAGGTTTCAGATTTGTGTGTAGTGTGGGGTAGGAATTTAATTTGTGTTTTTTTCCCCAAATAGGTAATGTATTGTGCCAAGAAAGTTTACTGAATAACATAGATTTCCCAGTGGTATGAAAAAGCAGTGTTATTCTCAAATTCTATTAGGATATACATGAGTTTGTTTCTAAACTTGTTGGTCAGTTCCATTACTTTTTTTTTGTCCATTACTACACTATTGTTCTTAGACTTTGTCTTGAGGGCAACTCTGGTTCCTTTAACACTTAATTTTCCTAACATATTTGTTTTTCCTTATTTAAAATTTTCTTGATTAATCTTAAAGTTAATATGTTAGAGTATCTTTGTTGTTTTCCCACTGTTATTTTGATTAATTTACATCAATGTGGGGGAAATAAATATGCACTTAAAAACACTGTGACACTTTATTGTTTTACTGCAATTTTCATTTAGATTTGCCTGCACATATATTCTTTTCTTTGCACTTAATTCCCCACCCTTCTCCCTACCTGTTTTTTTTTTTTTGTCTTTGAGCTTTCACTTTGTATTATTTTGCCTGTTACGGAAGAACACCCTTTAATGTTTTTCATTAGTACAGGTCTTGCTGGTGATGAATTTGCTCATTCTTGTTCACCTGAAACTATTTTTATTTCACCTTCATTTTTGAAGGTTAATTTTACTGGATATAGTTCTGGGTGAGCAGATATTTCCTTTCAGTGCATTGAAGATAACCACCTTGTCTAAATGCACTTGGTATTGGGGTGGAGGGTAGGGGTAGACTTGCTTGTTTCTAGCTCAGCCTTCCTGTGGGGATGTTGGCCCTTTCAATCCCTAGCTTGCTGTGGGAAGTGTCTCCTATGAAACTCCCACCTTTAATGGGCTCTGGGTTTGACTTATGCCTCTCCTTGATGCCACGGAATCAAATTCAAGTGCGCAAGTGTTGGCAGATGCTCACAGTGCAATAATAATAGCTTTAGTCTTCAGTTTACCCCCAGAAAAGCTCTATACTTTTTATAAGGTTTTTAATGCTTTTAAGGTGGTGTTTTTCATATTTTATCTCACATTTTTGATAATATTTGGTGGGAGAATTGCTCTTAAAAATTTAGTCTACCATTATCAGAAAACTTTGGTAATCTTTTCAGTGTTATATTCCAGTTTGTAATTTCTCTTGTCAGCTGAATCTAATTGTTTAAATCTGTATATCAAGTCTTAAAATTCCAGTTATTGTATTTTTTATTTTTAGAAGTTCTATTTGGTTCTTCTTCAAGTCTGCCTGGGAATTTTATCATCTTTTCTTCCTTAGTTATATTTTCAATATCTTTTTTTTATGTCTGTGAGCATAAACATGTTTTATATTCTATATATGATTACACTAGTATCTGAGGTCTTTGCCGGTTGGATTATACTTTCTGATGTTTGGCTGACTTTTGTTTTTTCATTCTTGGTGATTTATTTCTCATTCGTTTTATGAACTGTTTTTTAAACTATGGGCTCATATTAATTGGAACATGGGAATTCTTTGAGATCTGGGTGAGCTAAGGTGGGTTTTTCCAGGGAGTATTTGCATTTGCGTTTAATGGGTTTTTGAAGCATTACCTCACCGAGATCATTTTTGGTTTTTTGTGTTTTTCAGGCCACATAGGTAATATGAATTCTCCTAATTCTGCCTGAACTTTTAAATATTTTTTTATACTTTAATGTTATATAGATATGTATTTTGTTCTTATAATTCTAATTGTTCTTCAAGAGCAGCTCCCTGCCCCCACCCCACCTTGTGCACGTGCGCGTACACACACCCACACCCACACCCACACATGCACATACACACACCCACACCCACACATGCGTGTACACACACCCACAACCACACATGCGTGTACACCCCCACCCCCCCACCCCCCCACCCCCCCCAACAGCCACACCCACACACACCCACAAAACAGAACTCCCCTTCCCAAACCAGCCAAGTGTAACAGGACTTTTCTTGTCTTACGTTTATAGCCAAGGCTGTGACTTACAAGTTTCCTGATTCTTTGCATATTGCGGCATTTTCTAGTTTTCCCTTTCATTGGGCGTATCACCCTTTGGGGTTCCCCCTTTTTATGTGGATGATCTCCAATACATTTTCTCCTGCTGCATTGTCCCAAGTCTCAGCTCTTGTCTCTTATGCACAGAGACCTTCAAAACCAGAGCGGGCCATGGCATGCATTAGCAGACACTCCTGGAGAGCATCTACCTTCAGAACTCACTTGTCTCTCTGGATTTGACCTTTTTCTTAATTTTTTTACTTTAGGTTATTTTTCTTATTCCCTCCCACCTCAGTGTACCCTGAAAAGACTTTATAAAACCCTTTATCCAACATTCTTAATGATTTTGTCCTGAGGAGGCTCTTCAGGATCTCTCATCTGCCCCATTGCCCTAATATTTTTCAAATGTTATTTTTAATGTTTCTTTTATAGGATTCAGTTTAGCTGCATTTAAAAGAAACAAGAGGAAACTAGAGCTGGCAGAAAGGGTGGAAACAGATTTCATTCAACTAAAGAAAAGAAGACAATCAAGTGAAAAGGTCAGGAGGTGTTTGAAATATTAATAATTAATGTATCATAATGATATACTTAGTCTGCATTTAGATATATAAGCCTCAGAATAGTACAACCCAGTAGAAATATAATGCATGCCACATATGTACTTTTTAAGTTTTCCAGTAGCTGCATTTAAAAAAATTAGAAGAAACAGGTGAAATTAATTTTAAGACTTATTTAAAACAGTGAATCTAAAATATCGCTTCAAAAATGTGATCAGTGAAAAAATATTACTAGTGATCTAGTCTATTTTCTTTTTTTTTGTATTAAGTTTTCAAAAATCAGTGTGTATTTTACACTTATAGCACATCTCAATTATGACATTAACTTTTCATTGGAAATATGATCTGTATCTATATATCATAAAGTTAACAGTTGAAAAAGTAGGCTTACATAAGAAGTTACATAACAAACATACTTAAGACTTCCCAGAAATTGAGTTGAAACTCTGTTTTAAAATTAAAGTTTATTAAAATGTAATAACATTAAAAATTTAGCTTCTCATTTGTCCTCACCACAGTTTAAGTGCTCAGTTAGCTCCATGTGGCTCCTGGCTGCTGTTTTGGTCCTTGCAACTCTGGATGAACATGGCTGTTTAGGGGATAGAGTGTTATAAGGAAATGTATATATTGGATTCATGTAGGTTTTTTTGTACATTCTAATGACATGTCTCTGTTTCTTGTTCTTATATTTTCTTTGTTTGCATTTCATGCATTTGTGTGCCCTCATGAGCCTGCGTGTGGCATTTCTTAGGTGTTTTGGGGGATAGAAAAATTAAAAACCATAACATTCATGCTCAAACTATGGCTTAGAGGTCCGTTAGCACACAGTTCATGATGGAGTTCTCATGTCACATCGTCACTTGATATAACTTGGCATCTCGTTAATATTCTTCATTGATTAGTCCCATAATTGCTTATGTACTGGCTAATGCTTTCCGTCATAGCTATATATGGTTCATTCACATATGAGTGCATACTAAATCTTCTCTCATGATGATAGATATTTTTCCAGTATGTTGCCACATGGGACAATTAATCAAACATTTTGGTCCAAACCTTTTTATTTTTCTGCCAGAGAAGAGTAGAAATTTAGGAGGCAAATGAACAAATGAGTAGGTAGACCTTGGTGAAAGTGCCTAGTAGTGTGGTTCTGTTTCTTCGGTTTTTGCATCCCATGTGATGTCTGAGTAAGCAAATTTAGGACTGCTGTTCTTTTAAAAAACTGATAAAATTTGCATATAGTGAGCAATTTAATCAATTTAATAAATATATATATATAGCCATGTAACCCATATACCTATCAAGATGTAGAACATATCTGGTTCTTTTGTACTTCCTTTCAGCCATTCTCTACCCTTTATAGGTGACCACTGCTCTGAGTTTTATCACCATAGATGTTTTGTGTTGCTCTTGAACTTTATATAATTGGAATCTTACAGGATGTACTTTTTCTATTTGGTTTCTTTCACAAAGTGTTTTTGAGACAGTGGGTCACAGGTTTATTCTTTTTTATTACTGAATAATATTCCCATTTACTGTAAGTTGTTTATCCATTCTCCTACTGATGGACATTTGGTTCATTTCCAGGCTTGTACTTTATGAATAAAGCTGTTATGAACATTCTTATACAGGTCTTTTTTTCAGGGACATCAGTTTAGGGTTTTTATGCATAGAAATATCAGTTGACCTTATAGAGAATATCTTCAGCTGGTCTTACTTAGAAGATTCATTTTTTTATTCAGAAAATATTTATTAAGCAGCTACTCTTGGTGCTGAGCTGGGTAGTAAGAAAACGGTGGTGAACAGGATGGAGGTAATTCCTGCTCTAATGAAATTTTACAGTTTAGTGTCTAGAGACGGAAACATATAAACATACAATCAAGTAAGATAATTACCATGTTTGATAACTGATATAAAGGAAAAAAAAAAGCACAAGATGATATGATACAAAGTAACTTGGATATGAGAGATGGAGGGGAGACTCAAAAGAGGACTCCTTTAGTTAGGATGATACCTTGCTAGTTAGAGACCTTTCTGAAGGTGTAACATTTGAGGCGACATCTGAAAAATATGAAGTGAGTTTTATGAGAAGTCAGTGGAATAGTGTTCCAGGCAAAATGAACTGCATGTGCAGTGGCCCTGGTGGGGACTTGGCATATCGGAGGAATGGAGAAGAGGGGCATTGTGCCTAAAGCATGGTGGGCAAGAGGAGGATGGTATGATCTGAAGCTGGAGAGGTAGGTAGATGCCGGCTCCTTGAGGAGTTTCCACTTTTGTTTCATGAATAATGAGTTATTGTAAAAGCAGAGAAGCAACACTGCCTTATTCATATTTTACAGAGTTCTTTCTGGCTGCTACATGGTGAATAGGGGAAGGCAAAAACAGAAGTGAGGAGATTAGTTACAAAGTTATTACAGTTGGGAGATGGTGCCACATGGACTGTGGATGTTAGGGATGGAGATGGAGAGAAGTGAATATATCCAGGATATATTGTAAGGGCTCCTAGAAAGACAGGAATTACTGATGCCTTATAGAGAGGGGGTTTAAAAGTTCTAGTTTTTAGTCATAGTGTATTGCCATTTACTAAGGTGGTACAGGGAGCTGGAGAAAGTATGGCTTCAAGGTGATGGAGGTGGGAAATGGAAATCAAGAACTTTCTTACTTCATGTTCCCTTAATGAACTCAGATTAACCAATGCTTTTCATTTTCACAATAACACATATTATCTGATGCCAAGGCACCCTGAACACTCAAGGTAACAGACCACTTTTAGTGTGCTATGTTCCTCTACTCCTTTCAGTTGAATTTTGTGCCACCAAGAGCTTCATTATGCTCATTGTTTTTATCATTTTATCCTTTATCATAATTCATTGTCTCTCATAAACTGATGAATATTGAGTTTAAAAAGAGAATTGTCTGCTTGAAAACTGAAAGAGTTGTTTGTTTGAAAACTAACTTGAAAAAGCAGAGTGGGTCTATAAAAAGTTGCTGTAGAATTAAGCATGGGCAAACCAGCTGTAAAAGATTGAGAAAAATCGTAAAAATCTAGAAGCTTTGTGCATTCAGAGTATGTTGTTAGTGTATTTATATTCTTGTTCTATTTTTAGATAAAATAAAACTTGAAATCATAGGACAGTCCAGGGTGTTATAGGAAGATGATATGGAACATTTGTACGTGGGCTCACATTCAGAGAAAGTCTTATATGAAAAGATTGGCTAGTGAATGAATGAATTGGTTTTGTGTTTTAAATAAAAAGGAAATATTTACAATATGTGTCCTTCTTTATGATTCTGTCCTTCACCCAGAGAATATTCAATTTTTGAAAAATTTAAACAACCACTCATCAACCTGGTTAAGAGGATTTGCAATAAAAAACTGGATGTGGCAGCAGGAAAGATTAACTGTGGAGTTGGTTTTATGCATCTGAAGCTTAGGGGTAGGTCAGGGGGGACATTCCCATTTGGCAATCATTGGCATCAAAAGGAATATGAATCCACGTGTCCAGATGAGCTCACTTAGTAGGAGTGAGTGAAGATAGAGGTCTGAAAACTGAACCCTGGGCCAGGCCAACATGTCTACATTGGGAGGAGGAGAAACCAGCGAAAGAGAAAGATGGAGCAGCCAGTGGGGCAGGGGGGCCATCAGGAGAGTGTCTGGGAAGCAGAGAGGAGCGTTCAAAGTCAGTCATCACCTGGGTCAAGTGCTGCTGACAAAACAGTTGGGAGGACAGAGGACTGGCCACTGGACTCGGCACCTGGAGACTCTGGACCTGGATGAGGACAGTTTCCATGACGTGGTGGATTGTAGAGCAGGTGGAGTGGGTCCATCAGGGAGAACAGGGTGGAGATAATTCTTTTGAGAAGTTTTGCTGTGGAGTGGGGAGAGAGAGGTGGGGAGATAGGGTCAAGACACCGTACCACGGTTACCTTCCGTGAATTCACTGAGTAATTTCACCTAGGAAGGCTCAGTTTCCTTATCTTTAACTGAAAATAGTGATAATTCTGCTCCCGTAGCAGGGCTGTTAGGAGGAACAGATGTGTTAATGGATGTTCAAGTGTTTGGTGACTGTCACTGACTGAGACACGATCGTTTTTGCCTTTGCCATTGTTTGCCTTCATCTCAGCCAAAAAAGAAGGGAAACTGCTACTCTGGGTGCTACTCTGGGTGGAATCTTGTAATGGAGAAAGGGAGGGTGGTAATGGAGGTCACTAGTAGTGGGTGGAGAGGTGGAATTCAGGCATGATTCAAATGGAGTATTTTAGACCCCTGAAATGACAGGAAAATATTTTTAATATTCAGAATATATGAACTTTAATGTGTACAAAGCACTGTGTTTGACTAGGACCCAGCTTCTGCCTTTAGGGAAGGATGCGGGCCACAGGCTTTGTTTTGCAGATGTTTGCTGTATAACCTTGGCAAAGGTAATAAAAACGCTCCGAGAAAGAAAAGACCACCAGATAAGGAGCCAATGGCGCAGAAAATTATAATTTTTGAGAGGAAGCGTAGCAATTTTTTAGAGATGTGACAGGAAAGGACAAATAGCTGTTTTCTAAATCAACCTGTATTTAGTTTATTTCTCCCTGTCCTGTGTGTATAGTTTCAGCATAGTTTTGGTTAGCCAGCATTGACTAAAGCCTGGAACTACTGTGTGTTGTGGCTACATAAAAGAAGCTGTGAGTTGGGTATATAAATATAATAAAAAGAATAGAGTTTTTGGTAACTTTCCTAATGTTCACTTTTTTGTTACTCAGTGTTGAAGGAGATAAATATTGTCCTGAAAGGAGTATACAGTAGAATAAATATTTTAAAGCCTGAAAATAAAGTAAATAAATTGAGCAATTTTTGTTGCATTGATATTTCTCGTTTTTCTTAAAAAAGTAATTGATTGTCCAGACATTATCACAATACTAATAGAAATCAAAATTAAAGCAAGAAGTATATTTAATCAGCTTGCTACCTCAATTAATTAGAGTATTTTTAT